CATATTAGCAACGCATTACCTATACATATAAAAATATGTATAATTTATATCTAACAACATGTTATTTATTGTTTCAGGTAAGTGATGTTGCATCACTCTGTGGGTCACATACACTCGCGCATCTTCCTTTCTTGGTATAATGTAAGCAATTTACTATATTTGTATTTATTAGCAACATTATTAACTATTCATATGGCTCGAACGAATGAAATAATGAAGAACAATGAAGATAAAAACAATGAAAAATGTAGAATATAGTGATTTTACTAAATATATAACTTTCCATCTTCTTGTGACATTTTTCTATAAATTTCACTAGTCGACTCTCTATTAGTCAATTTTATATTGTTCTATCTATATTATTAACTGAACGGCATATATAATTTCAAAAGTTATCACATCGGATTATAATATTTCAGCAAATCCTACCTACGAGATTTTTGCTGAATTAATTGATAATAGCTTACTCGTATGGCAATTAATCGTATTTCCTCTGTCATAAACATCTGTACCTGTGTATCACTGCTCTGGAGTATGATAATAGGGAGTGATATCAATAGTGGTGTTAACGGCACCTAAACGAAGCGCTGTTATTAACTGACACTGTAGGAGAAGGAAAAAATAAGAAAGCAATGAGTAAGGAACGGTCGAGATAAAACGAAAGGAAGAGAGAAGGGAGGGTAAGAGAAAAAGTAGATAGAAGCCTCTACAAAGGCAGCGTACTGAGAAATTCTCGTCAACAACGGAATCAGGATAGGCCCACACACCCGGCGGTTTGTAAAACACGCGGTGAGATTAAATGCTTCATTAATATGATTAAAGTAAAAAGCTGCTCGAGTAACGAGCCACAATAAATCATCCGCTGGTCAGGTCCACCGGTTCGGTGCGTTACACCGGTGCTTCTACAGTTGGTATTTTTACATTTTATGTATGTTATTTGGGATTTTTTTTTGCGGTCTGCGATATAGAAAAAAAAAAAGAGAGAGAGAGACGAGAAAAATATGAAATTATATACTGTCACAAATATTTGAAATGCAAATGAGATCAAATAGTACAATTTATAGATCAGATATTGTGGGAACATTTAATGTGGATGAATTGCGCTATTATTACATCTAGCACACAAAAGTGTCACATGTCATTGTGATGTATCACGTCAGTTTACACGGTACATGTCACATCTTCGGTTCTTGGCGACGTGCAAGGTGCCGTGGCCTGATGCAAAGTGCAAGCAGATGCGATCGTCGATTATACACTTACAGCGTTACCGTGTGTGAACGGTGCCCGTATAAGCCGCAGTAGATATGCATACAGCATGGGTACATATAATGCGGTCCAAGGTACGAGGGCAATGCATCTTCCACGTGACACTGGGTCCTACACTAATCGCGCGACAATCTTCACCAGCGTAAGAAGAGAGGGATAAGAAGGAGGACAAGAAGAAGAGAATCGCGTATGTATCGCGCGGTACTCGGTATACCTCAGAAAAAAGAGCAAAGAAAAAACTGAGAAGAAAGACAGTGTCAGAAACAAGGAAAGTGTGAAGAGGGATGCATGCTAAAGAAGATAAGAGCAAGAAGATTTAAAGTGAAGAAGGCAACTGTGTGTAGTATTACGGTCCTGCCTCCAATGGCAGGTTGAGAGAAAGGGAAAGGACGAAATAGAAGGAGCAAGGGAACACGGAAGCATCGATAAAATTAAGTATTATAATCCGAGTGCGAAGAAAAGCAAAGAAACGAAAAGAGAAACGTTAAAAGGTCAAAATCAGACGAAAAATGTTCAAGTTGAAACTTCAACTTGCCTTGACGTTAATTCACGTTATCTTTATCGTAAATAATTTAACAGAAAAGCAAAGTCAACACGATGGGATCATCATATTATTTATAGAATTGCCTTTCGTTACGAAGCAAATGCATAGCTTCCAAATAGTCTCAGGTTGTGTATAAAAATCGAATTTGTATAGTAGCCATATTAGCGATAAGAAATTGCAGACACCGGCAGTTGTTGTAGCGCTCTCTGTCGCATGAAACACCGCGATACACATCTATCGAACGAACCTATGTTACTCTCTCTCCCTCTCTCTCTCTCTTTCTCTCTATGTCGACCACACGCAGCAGGGAAACCTGTAATTTATTCCACGACTACCCAACTCCAATATAATCATTATAATTATTGTCTCCCCCTTCAAATAGAGCTTGATAATCATCGTCTGTATTTGTAACACGGCTCGCATTTGCTACCACATTCGTAGAATCTATGGATTGTTTCTTCGAAGTGTATCGAGTCCCGTTTTCCTTACATTGTTCGTCGATAAATTTAATTCGTCGTTCGTTTTTAATATTTGTTCGTCGTTCAAATTTTTGCACCTTTTGATACGCGTTCATTCTCTTCGTTACTCTTTCCTTTTATTCTGTTCTATCAATGCTTCTTTCTATAATTTGTATCTGTGTCCCGGCACTCTCTCGCATATTACATTCGTTTAGTCGTTATTGCAGATGCGTCATTACAACTTGCGGCGAACCGTTCACTGTGTTAATGTGACCGTTTTTCAATTAGTGACCAAACGAGTTCGACGGTAGCGAATAAATTAAATGCCGGCCATCGCGGTCGTGAGACCGTTCGTGACTTTCTAAATTCGTCACATATGGTCGGCGGATGAATTGTCGACGCTAATCACGTCTAATTAATCGTGTTTAAAATCATCATCTATAGATGATAAAAAAAATAATGAAGTACTACTTCCTCCGTTAATTATCCCACAATATTTAGATTCTCCAAATTAACTCTCGTATAAATTCGTATTTTAATTCGTATTAAATTTTTAACTTTTCTCAAATATACATCTGTAATAATATATGTTTTCCGTGCTCTTTTCCTCTCCCCGTGTCCCTTCTCTCTCCTTATCTTCCTCTGTCTGTGTTTCTTTTTCTCCTCACAATCGAAATAACAGTTTATTCGCTCCTATGCACACATTGCTTGTGTGTGTGTGTATATATATGTTACACAAATATCTCAGAAAGTCCGAATAAAACGTTTTTCAAATCAAAGTTGGGAACTATACTTTAAATTGCTAGGTTTTGATGTTTGATGGAGTTTAGCGTATGGATGAACGCATCACTAATTCTGAGCGAGATGTATATAACTCAATGTAATATTCCGTCATTCAAAAAGCAGTGCCGTGCTGAAGGCGAAGGTAACTTCGTGCCGGCCACCTGCAGGTAACCTGGGAGCGTCACGACGCCGCCGTCGCGACGAGTTATGGCCACAAATCACGCGATTCGTAATTGCTACTATCAACTACACGTTTTCACGTGGCAGTTTCTATCTGCAAATGTGGATGGAAATCCATAAACATCGATTGTTTAAACTTCGTAGACTTAATTATTTGAAACCTTTGTGAAAAATTAAATATAATACAATTTTTACTTCTACAAAGTTATATTAACAACATTTAGAATCTAACAAAAATGTAAAGTAACATTGATCAAAAACCTAACACTCGTCTACTTCACAGAACTTTAATGCTTCTAAAATTGAAAGAATCAAATAATTCTGACTTTACGTCAAAATGTTATAGGGTAGGAAAATTTTTAGAGTTTTTAGAAAAAAATGTGTTCTATATCTATTGTTATCTATTGTTTTAAAATGTATATTTGCCAAGGCACATTATATTCATCGAGATAAATGAAAATCGGAAGAAGTCAAGTTTAGTGAATGAGTTATATAAGGACTTTCCAGCACTAGTTTAAATTACTCTGCTTACGTGATATGTCAATGAACGTTGTCATACAATAATATTACTTTTCCGTTACTTTATAAATCCTTTTATCTCATTCTTTCATCGATTTACATATCTCTTGGGTTTATTTAAAATCTTTATTGTAGTTATGTTCTTTTAAAAGAGAGAGAGAAAGAGTAATCAGTTTCTCTATTATTTTCTTTATATTTAACATATAATTCCAACATGTTACTGAAAAATATTAATCTACCAGTAGAAAATTAAATTTACGCAGAAAATATTATAGTAAAAATTATGTTAAAATTATATTTCTTTTTATAATATTCTTTGTAAAGTTGGGCCATATAGAGATTCTCTAATAAAATTACTATAAAAATAATAAATTTGGTGATTTACTACAATTTAATACTGTAATTACAATAACTTATATATTGTAAAAAACCAAACGTGTATAACATTTTTAAACAAATATATAATACTTTTTATCATAATTCTATATGGTTTATGATTACAAAAATTTTATTCTAATTTTTAATACAATATTTTTGTTACTTTTCCCGCGTATATAAATACACATATATATTAAATTATATATATATATATATATATATATATATGTGTGTAAAAAATTATAAAAATCACGTTGATTTTGTTGATCACGTTGATATCTCGTACTTTCCATTACTTTCTGACAACTACACATATAGGCGTTTCTGTATAGTCTACATCACCATACAATATATCACGTACCGTGACAGAACGCGTTACCATTGTAACACGCTTGTTCCTGCGGCGATACATTACGTTACGTCCACATCCCAGGTATTACTTCGGCTTCCCTCCTCAACATGGATAGTAGCTTCGTACATGTTAGCTTTGATTCGTTCGTCGACGGTCGTCACGGTGCGCCACGTTAAAAGCTTTCCTTGCCATCAAAGTAATTGCGGATATATAGTCTATAGAGAGAATTGCGAGGCTACCGCCTCTCTCCCTAAGAGGCCACGGAAGGACCTGCCGAAATTCAGCGTCGAGTAGTAATAAGCGCGAAAATAGCTTTAGTCCGGCTATTCAGAGAGAAAAATAAGCTGGCTGATTTTCGATATTTATGTCATAATTATTTCACTGCTATGTTCATCCTGCTCTTACGCTCGATAACACTTTTCTGCACATATTATCGTAAAATCATTACACGACACATTATATGATTTTAACACGTGATCGGAACGTATGAAGACTTTTTCAGAAAATAAGATTTAACAAATATATTATTTATAACGTTAACAAATCAACTCTCAAATAATAAATGTTCCAGCACGGTTCATTTCTAGATTTCATACAACTGTCATTTGGACTAGCCTTCTCATTAGAAAATACACGTATCCACAGTATCCGGCAGGTCGTATAGGTGCGCATAGTGTGTTTCCCGCGCGCGCTCCTTCCTCCTTCAGCGGCGCTGCTTGCCATCGTATCAACATCGCACTTCATAATACTGGCAGTGTTTGTGCGCGTCTCGATCCGTTACCTTACCCGATCGGCTCGTTCCTCCTTCGTAATGTCGGTTCCTTTGTAGTTTTTCGAAATAGAGTGTTATTCGGCCATCGTTAGCTACTACTTGCCTCACGCATTGTCTATTTCAAGTTAACAACGGATACCGGAAGTCGTTATTCCCGCGCGTTAAATATTCGTCCTCCAACGACTCCGAACAATCGCGGGGCTTCACGTTTCCATCCGCGAACGTCTAACTTTTGTTTTATGAGTACAACAGTTGGCTTGTAACATTTTCGTCCCTGCAAAATTGAACTCGCATTAGTTTTCGTATTATAACAAATCGAATTTTTTAGATGACTTATTTCTATTATAATCACGTTGGTGGTATAAGCTCAATATAGTGTCAAATAATTTAGATTTTACCAATAACGCAGTAATAATGCACGGAATGTTTTGTGATAATTCTTCTTTTTTTTTTTGTACTTATTTTTCCGGTGTTTTTTTACTAACAGCCTGTGTGCATGTTTCGAAGATATTTGTAATTGTCACCATTTTATAAAATTAGCTTCTTATGCGCATTCGATCTTTTACTTTATGCATAAACATAATTTATTTTCCTATATTTTGACTTTTTATAGACATATAAATATTTAAATCGACTATTTATTCTGTTACTTTATTTTTAACTCGTGTATTTGTGTTTCTCCACACAGATAGGATTACGAGCTATGTTATTCTAATCGCTTATTACAACAGAGAAAACCAAACATTTCAAAATGTTAAATAACGTAAAAACTTTCTTGAGTGTCTCGATGTGAATTGAACGTTTCATAAAAAGTAGTAGTGTCATAAATAATAACTGCTAATGAAAGCCAGATGATTGGTAAGTGGACTCAGTTTTCATAAAACTTTTATGTGCTAACAAATTTGTTTTTCATAACATTTTATAATATTTATTTTCACTAAAAAATATTTATAATGTATTAGATACATATATAATAGAAATATTTAAAATTTTAAATTTTAAAAAGGTGTATTCCATTTTAACATTTGACATATTTTGACATTTGACACTTTTTCGGTACTTGATCATTAAAAAAATAACTATAATTTATTCTTGATGTCACATATTTTAGTGCCACATATTTCGATAATCGAAATATGAATGCTAAATTGATATTTTACAGAACGTTATACTAAGTATCTTGTCAAATTATATTACAAGAATTCAATGAAATAGAAAATCTTTGAAATTACATGAGCATACCAAGGATTTATTTGATTATATTGCCTCCATACAACAGATTCGCCAACTAGATAAATTAGTGTAAACAATCTTTCAGTGTCATGCAGTATGTACTTATTTTGTAAACATCTGCATTTTTCTTTATTTTCATACGCTTAATCTGGTGCAAACGGGGTACACACACACACACATACACACCAATACAGATTGTAAAATTTAATTCGCAGAGCTAAAAGACCTAAAGAAAGATTGCTAAAACTGTTCGATAGATTCAAGTCTTTTGGTGCTATTGAGACCATATTTCGTAACACAGAGAGAAAATAGAGATGTTTAGGGGAATGAGCTGTTTCGGACTGTGGTGATGTCGACATCACGTTTCTTTCGATCCCTAACGAATAAGAGACGGCAGAAATAGTTGAGAAAACGGAAGGGTTCCCGAATGGTTCAATGGTTAGAGAAAGGCAGAAAGAAAGATACAAGGTTGGATAGAAAGGTTGGATAGAAGGGTAGGCATAATTTATCCTTAGGGCCCTGTAAATGGTTGCTTCGTTGCTCGGTTCTGCTGTACAGGATTGGTTGGACGTCTGACAGTTGACGGATGATGAGGCGGCCTTTCAGTCCCCCTTCCATCCCCTTTTACGCCCCCAACGTGCTGATTTAGTTTCAGGTTCGATCCATTATCCGCCGCGAAGCAAAGTCGGGCCGGCAATAACGGGATTATTAACTGAAATAGGCACATACACTCTCCTCCCCCCTTCCCCTTCTCCCCTTCCCCCTGCCACTTGCCTTACCACTTCTCGTCGCACTTTTCAAGTCTTTTCAGTTGTTCTTTATTTCGTCATGCGTCCTGCGGCGTTAAGCAGAAATTGTTAGGCGGCTTTTTCGCTTGCGTTTGCTCGTTTCCTGTCGAAATAATTCACAATTTTAATACAAAAATATAAAGCGCGCTGCTTCAAGAGCACATGAGATTTCTAATTATATACAGTTGTATATTTTGTAATTTATTTGATGTAAAAAAACTTGATGCTAATTTACCTGGTTGTGTGGGATCTGTCATTTTTTAATTTATACAATCCAATCTGCGGGGCGAAAAGAAAAAATATAATTTCCCTAGAAGGTGTATCCTCGCAATATGTTTCTGTTTCACTCGAAGATAGATAGCAAAGATAATACCGTAATATTCTCCATCTTGAGCACGACTTTTAATCTACTTTAATATAAGGCGCGTAATGAACATCCAAGGCGTAGCTTGTCGCACCGTAACGCTTCGATGCATAACTCGAGATAAGCTATTCTCTCGCCGGGAAGATGTGGATCTAGACACGATGCGCGAAACACCCGTAGTTTCTGTACTTCTTCGTGCTAGATGTTAAAACCGCGGCACGAGAGCCGCGCCAGTGTCGCATTTATCTATTCTACGATCTGCTGCGCAATGTGATTGCGTGAACTGCCGCGTGGTGCTTGAATGTACCAGGGATCTTGACTGCGTGGAATCGAAAAACCGGTTCAAGCTGTACGCAGTTTCCTGTTTCACGTCAATGCAAAATTTGCAATTTTGTCAAGCCGCTAATATCGCAATATACAATTAATCGAAATATAAATCCAAGACTCTCGGGCTCTCGCGATTTAACAGGCTAATTAGCAGAATTATACGAATTTCTGTTTTTATCATCGCGCACAACAGTAATGAGCCGTTCGTTTTGTGTGTGTTTTGAAAGGAAGTTCGCGACGCATGAGAAAACAGATATGCATCCTTCTCGTTGTGCGATTATATCTTATTTTTTTTTTGTTTTCGAGACCAAGACGGGCACGTCCGCCAAACGCTTATGTAGACTAATTGGTCGTCGTCTATCTCCGCCTTTTATTTTAATCCTTTTCCAACGTTTTACTCCGGATCGTTTTTGCTCGTTACATCACAATTTCCTTCGGCGAAATATGAGTTACTGCCTTTGCGAGGAGTATTACTACCTGTCCAGCCAGACTCGTATGTTCAGCCCTAGCCTATTATTTATGACCTCATTTTATAATCAACCAAACTTGAACACACTACAACGACTAATAAACGTTGTTTGCTAATTGCATGCTTCTTTGCTCCTCTCATCGGAAAAATTTATAAAAAACGACACAAGAAGCAATACTTTCCATTCCCATATTCGGATTCTATAATTGCCGATGGAGGATCTTCTCGAAGAGAATATTTGAGGACAATTTTACATCAATTCCATTTTTTAATCAATTTGATTGAGACTTCAGTCGAAATTTATTGCATTGCTTGCAATGTTGCACCTCACACATCCTTTTAATCTCAAGATTCTATATATATATTAAAAAGATGCCCCCATTTGTTTAATCTATCCGACCCTTGAATAAAGATTCTCTTGTACATTTGTTGAAATTTACTAAGAACTTAATATACAGCAATCTTAAATGAATTTATGGGACTGTATACGCGCTATTTTGAGTCCGGTTAAGGGAGAAACTTTTGAGCTAAAATTCCTCAAAAGATACGTTGCTGAAACTTCACACGGGCCTTATGGAACAGCGCGCATACACCTGCTTACGAAACAGGTTACTCGACGGATCACCCAATCGATATTCGACCGATGCAAGCTGTTCGGCGTGCGCGGCTCGAGGTTCCCTGGCGAGAAATCACGGCGACGTGCCTTCACGTGTTCGTTACCCTACTCCGTTGCTAATAATAGACCCTGGCACCTTGCTGGCTCGATCAGCGGACCACCCAAATGATCGCGCACGAAGCAAAAGGTTCAGCGTTAGCTGTGGTCCTGATTGGTATTACGGGAACGGTGGACGCGGACCAAACAGTAGGACGATCGGGGTGATTGATAAACAGTGCCACGCGCCAGCCCCGCGACAAATACGTTCGTGACAAAGGTGAAGGGACCGCCCGCCGTGTACCGCGCGTCGCGCACACTTCTCGGCTCGCGAAAGGACCGTTTATCGTTCAACCGTTCCGCAAAGTTACGAAAGTCACGTACCAAGTGTTGCCTTCACTCGCGGTTGCTCCCGAAATAATGATCCTGCTAACTCCTAACTTCGACACCTACTGGCGAGGATGTGATTCGATTTTCAGTTGATCACAGCCTATTGAATGCTTTTACAATTTCTGATATTTCTGATATAATTAGATATCATTGCTAATGTAAAATTCGTATGTTAACCACGCGTTCAGTGTTAAAGATATGATCGACGTAACATCGGAAAACTGTAGTAAAAACAATGACTACAAAATTTATAAATACTACATTTTTACCTACTGGCAAGGATATGATTCGATTTTCAGTTGATCACAGCCTATTGAATGCTTTTACAATTTCTGATATTTCTGATATAATTAGATATCATTGCTAATGTAAAATTCGTATGTTAACCACGCGTTCAGTGTTAAAGATATGATCGACGTAACATCGGAAAACTGTAGTAAAAACAATGACTACAAAATTTATAAATACTACATTTTTACCTACTGGCAAGGATATGATTCGATTTTCAGTTGATCACAGTCTATTGAATGCTTTTACAATTTCTGATATTTCTGATATAATTAGATACCATTGCTAATGTAAAATTCGTATGTTAACCGCGCGTTCAATATTAAAGATATGATCGACGTAACATTGGAAAACTGTAGTAAAAACAATGACTACAAAGTTTATAAAT